GCTGGTCCAGATGGATTGGCTCCAGAGGTCTTTAAGGATGGTGGTCCAATTTTAGCGATTAAGTTGACTAATATTTTAGCTAAGATCTGGGAATTAGATTTTATCCCATCTAACTGGTCACAATCACTTATCGTCCCAATATATAAGAAAGGGTCAAAATCATCCTGTGACAACCACAGAGGGATTAGTTTAACAAACATAGTATCTAAAATACTGGCCTCGATAATTATCAAACGCCTAACTAAGACTCGTGAACTACAAACTCGAGAGAACCAAGCTGGCTTTAGACCTGGTCGTGGCTGCATCGACCACATATTCACCATTCGTCAGGTTCTAGAACACAGGCATACCTATCGGCGTCCGACGATGGTGGTCTTTCTTGACTTAAAAGCAGCATTTGATTCTGTAGACCGCGAGACTCTGTGGCAGTGTCTGTCATTGAAAGGCGTACCTCAGAAGTACATAAACCTTGTGAAGGCTCTTTACTCGAACACTACTAGTCGAGTGAGAGCTTATGGCGAACTGTCATCTACTTTTGCAACTTCAAGTGGTGTCCGTCAAGGCTGTCCACTTTCTCCATTTTTGTTTAACTTCATCATAGACCTATTGATGGAAATAACACTCTCGTCGACTGAATTCTCGGGTATTGATCTCCTTCCAGGAGGTCCACTTATCGACTTAGAATACGCAGATGACATAGTCCTGTTTGGTGAAGACGCTGACAAAATGCAGAGTCTTTTGGTAGCACTAAGCAACAATGCCAGGATGTTTGGAATGCGCTTCTCTCCCTCTAAATGCAAGTTGTTGCTTCAGGACTGGTCTGCGTCAACACCTGAACTAAGGATAGGGATTGAAGTAGTCGAACGCGTCGACAACTTCACTTATCTTGGAAGTCTGATCAGCCCTAATGGGTTGGTGTCTGACGAAATCTCAGCACGGATTCGAAAAGCTCGCTTGGCTTTTGCCAACTTACGTCACCTTTGGCGGAGGCGAGATATCCGTCTATCAATAAAAGGACGAGTATACTGCGCGGCAGTCCGTTCTGTCTTACTTTACGGCAGCGAAACATGGCCTTTAAGAGTAGAAGACACTCGTAAGTTATTAGTATTTGACCACAGATGCCTTAGAAATATTGCTGGCGTCTGCTGGGACCACCGGGTAAGTAATAGTGAGGTTAGACGCAGGGTATTAGGGAATAATGGTAAATCAGTTGATGAGGTTATGAATCTTCATCGACTGAGATGGTTGGGCCACGTATTACGTATGCCTGAACACCGATTACCACGACGTGCAATGCTAACCGGTGTAGGGGATGGTTGGAAGAAAGTTAGGGGCGGCCAAACCAAAATGTGGCATCAGTGCCTGAAGTCACCAACTTCTAGTCTGAGCCATGTTGGTAGATGCAGACTACTTGGTTGGGGTCCGCGTGACTTTCGTAACCAATGGTTGGAGACTCTTGGTGACATGGCTCAGAATCGATCACAATGGCGTCGGTGTATACACTCCCTGTCTTCCCTTAAACTAAGAGATTAAAATCACTTCATATCTTCCTTTCTACGAACTAATTCTTTCTTCCTATACTATATCCTTATTGCAACCTTTGACCTAACCACTCCTATGAATCCGGTGTCCATCTTGCTGTGCTAATGAGGTATGGCAACCTGGACCGATGCACATATGTGCCTGGTCCTACGTTGTAGCTGACTGACTGGCATAGGGGGTTTGTAGAGTGTGTCTGTGGCTCTATTAAAAAGGGTCAAAGCCAGGAGTTTCGATCTTAAGTATTTCGAATATTAGAGACATTTATCCACTGAAGGTAATTGAAGATGATTCACACTTAGAAGATAACGAATTTCGAGACAACATTTGTAGGTCAAATAACATGGTCCTACCTCAGCAGTTTCGAGGAGACTTTGAACAGTTTCTGTCCAGCACCAACTTCCAATAGTCATCCTCAATGGGATAATCAGCATCCTCCTGCAACTCAAATCTACATTCAGATTGATAATATTGAAATCAACTACTTCTGGGACGGACTTATACAAAGCACCATCTCTTGGAGCACTTATCTGGATTTGGACTATGTTCTGATATGCGCCAAACTTGATTTTTTGTTTGTGTGGTATCTGGTTCTGATATTCATACAAAAGCTTTCTATATGGAAGCCCAAATGGCTACCTGAGTGAGAGGGAAGTTTTATTAGTTAAATCTAATGAAGAGATGAATGTACATTCATGAATATATGTTTGTCTCTTAAAAGTCTATGCCATACGTCAAACCAATGGCGTATCTCATGTTGTAGAAAAGTAAACTATACATTCTACAATGGCGTGTGCTTACTATCTGGCTGATGTCTGATTGGTTCATTGTATCGATTCGCCAGCGAATGTCCCGTCCTAAACAGACCGAACCTTGTATTTCAATTAGATATCAAACCGACCTAGATTGAAGAGCAGCTATCAGTTAATCGAAAACCGTGTTTAGCGGATTTTCTCAGAATTAATGTGTTAAATAAATACAAGTACTGAAAAAATAATGAAATGTTTCTTTGTGTTGTAATCGTTTGAATAAACTCGTCAAATTAAAGAAATGTAACGTTTAATCAGTAATGAATTGAGCAAATTTTTGCAGGTTTCAGAAAATGTCACTTTCATGCGTTCGTGCTCATCCGAAATCAAACCTCTGTTAATTGCCTCCAGTGATGCGGTAATTTACACCCCAGATAAGGAACATTTTGGAATTGTCCCTATTGAAGCAATGTCGTTGTCTCGAGCAGTTATTGCATTGGATTCTGGTGGTCCTAAAGAAACTGTTTTGCATGGTTCTACAGGATTTCTATGTACAGTGCACCCAATAAAACGACTTCCACAAACTATGGCTACCTATCTTAGCAAGTACGCTTCATATATTTTTTGTTGATGGAATGACCAAATAATTTTGTTATTTATTTACAAACGCGAAGTAGATGATAACCAATTATAACGAGGTAGACATTGTTATATTGAATGCGTAAAACTCTTCACGAACTGGATGTGGCGCTATTCTGCTGTCAGCGTTTGTACTGTGTAGTACTTAGATTACAAGTGTTTGTCAAGCATCATCGGAAACGGAGATAAAGGCTCCCAAATCGCCGTACCTGAGATATCTTCTGCTCGGTTTCCATGCGATCGCATTCAAAATAGAGGTGTATAAGAGTGACCGAAATTGATTAGGGTGGATTCATTGCGCTAATTATGGTGAAGCCTTATATAGACAATATAACATAACAAGGTCAAGTAATGTATGTGCTTCCATCTAGATCACTCATCTAAAATTGGGGAACTGTGTGTTATACGAATTAGAAGTAAACCTACTTTTCTTCCGGTTTGTCCTTAATACATTGAATGCAGCAGCTGTATTGAAGTATGAGTTAATATTAGCGTAAAAATTTAGAAAAATTCATGAGTGCGTATTTGTGGTTGCACTTGATCTCCAGGCCTAACAGGTTTTCAACCACAAATCATGATTACTTTTCAGATCTCAATCACGAAGTCTGCGATACCCCGAAAACCAATACTTGATAAACTGGTACTAGAAATCGATTCGGTCGCTCTTTACAACCTATTCTTATCCTGGTCAGTGTATATGTTCTGACCACCTGAGTAGATGTTCACGATTTATTTAAACACATGAACATCGTTACAAGGAGATACCAAATAGATATGCACCACATCCCATTTATGTGAGGGGTGGAATACTATCCAGGTGACCGGACCGAAGCATAGTCTACGCTCAACCCAATTTCCCCACTTAGTTATACACTAATCTATGATATATGTTCATGTCCTACAGCTTAATACTTTAATATCTTGGTTAAAATCCCGATTCTCCTACCTTATTTTGGGTACTGGAGTAATGTCATCAGCTCTCAGGAACTTCAGATCTGAGTATTTAAGTCTGTGATTGATGTTCCACATATTACCTTGTCCTCCCAGTGGCCTTAATTCATGTCTGCTGATTAAAGTTATTTTTTTCAATTAAACCCAGGTAAGCTATTGCATCGACTGTATTAGTCTCCCAGCAACTTGGATGGTCTACGGTTTTGACTACACTTTAAGTTGTCAAGTTAAGCACCAATACAGGATATGCGATCACTTAAATAACTATTGTACTTTCGTATGGATCGTTTTAGCTCAATTAAAAAACAAATTTTATGTGATTTTGAGGTTTGGAGGATGATAATACAATTCAAGGACTACGACAAACTTCAAAACAACTGATAATCATTCGCAAATCGACTTTGATTATCCTAGCACTAAATAATACCTTTCTGTCTTATTCAAATTCACTAGGCTCTAAAAAAATAATTGTGTTTATTTCAGATTTGTAAATGATCCAGAGCTTGCAGATCGTTTGGGGAAGGCAGGATGTGAACGTGTTCGTGAGAAATTTTCATCTATAACTTTTAAAAGAGAATTGCAAACAGTCGTGACTGATTTAATAAATGAAGACCAAGGATAGAAATAGTTTTTTACATGCAAAATTATTTGATTTATTTTTCCTCAAATACTTAGTTGTTTTTCATTGCAAGGCAAAGTAAATACTTGCAGTGTTTTCATGTACTTAATTTTGGTGAAATGCTGTTTATCAAGACTTTTTCACTGGACCGTTTATTTGTATTGATCAACATACATTTACACTTAGGTAATTTTCATCCTACTGCACAAGTGAAGAATACAAGTAACTCTAAATTTCAAGTCTTGTTTGTACCAATTACAACAGCATACACGTTTTGATGTATCAAATAATATAAAATATGTAAAACACACCAGATTAGTCAATTGTATTTGATGAAAGAAAAGTAGAAAAATATGAACTGAAAGTTAGTTTTTTGAAGACCGATGAAAATGGCTTAGGTTAAGGTCGTTCATGAGGTTCTTATAGTGATCATGACTCAAAAGAATGAATTCGAAAAATGTTTGCCGGTTGAGATTTGTTTGGAATTATTAGAGAGAAATTCTTTAGGAAACCATTATTTCAGCTGATGATTCTTTCAGGTTGGGAAGTACATTTTCCTAAAGTGTATCAGATTAAAGCAAATCGAACTTACCATATCATAGATAACACGCACGTAAAGAGAACAGCTTGGACATCGTGCTATATCATCACCACACAATAAATCCTCCTACAGAACGAATAACTTAGGACTCTATAAAATAACCTAACCTTGGTAATTAGGAATCGATCACCACACGGACAAGGATAGGAATACGTTTCAGATTCTTCATCATACTCCATATCCTCGATTTCTATTTCATCATGAAATACAGACATCACTGATCAAATGTTCATCGACGGTTCTCGAGAGCGATTGTGTTATGAATGAGATTGCACGAATATGTCCAAGTAATTAGTTAAAAATGTAGTCTGAAATAATTTAGATGAAATTTTTTAGGTATCTAATAGTAGCAAGTAGTAAAGTCAAATCATATGTGTAAATATTTTCGGGTTCATGCAATGATCGCAAACAATACTGATTAATGAACATAAGCAAAAGGGGGAAGTAGCGATAAGCAATGTATGACAGGTTTACATACAGCCGCTGGTCGCCAATGATGACGCAAAGCCCATATTTCTTAATTTCCGACACCCATTTCTGCTGGGGGCAACCTCGATTACACTAATGTTAGGAATGAACAGTACCTATCGAAGCACTATAGTGCGAGGGATTACTAAGGTGGGTGAAAAAGAAACGAACCCCACGAATTGAGTTAGCTTTCCTTCATTATGTTAATGGGAATACGTTCGTAATATGCTACAACGCACGCGTCAGAAGCGGCTAAAAATCCTGAAGACGCACGTGTGCATTATGTATCAATCTCTCTGAGTAATACTTTTTAAATATCTACTTTCAGTATATAATATCAAAATAAAGCGTACATGTGTGGAACGATATAAGAGCTGACACGAGTGTAAACTTTTCTACACGTGCTTTTGCACTACAGGATAACTATGATGAGAAAACTAGCATGACCTACAGCTGGGATGTGATATTGCTCAGTCTTGAGGGCGGTTATCACTTCCCGGTTGCCCACACCGTGGAAGGGTTCTTCTGGAGGTACCTGAAAAGGAAATTGGATTAGAGGTGGTCTTAGTGACCTGAGAGCGTGACCGTAGTACCCAAGGGACAACTGCTTGAGGTCGGTCACACACGACTTTTTTATGGGTGATTTTTGTGTTAGCTCCGTACTTGTTGAGACCTTACCGCCGGAGACGGATATCCGCGGGATAAGGCGAGGTGTGCGTTTTTAGGGTCGACCTTTTCTAACCCCACCTCTCCTTGTGAGAAGGCAGCATCGCTGTCATGCTGGTTGTCTGAAGGAAACACCTTACTGTTGCCACACCTCTGTACAGCCAGCAGTACGACTTTACCTTCGGACATTGGGTTTGTTGCTTTTAGTCTTACCGCTCTTCAACCGACCTGTCTGACATGGTAGGACCTTGAGGAACAGTTGTTCCAGCCAGTATAGCTCGCTTGCTTCATCACGATAGGCAAGCCCAACCACCACGTCAAGGTAGCAACAACGGTCGGATGTGATATTGCTAACAAAAGAGATTTTAGTGGTCGTGGCTGCATCGACCACATATTCATCATCCGTCAGGTTCCAGGACAGGCATACTTGTCGACGTCCGACAATGGTGGTCTTTTTGACTTGAAAGCAGCATTTTACTCTGTAAATCGACAGGTTCTTTGGCAGTGTCTGTCATTGAAAGGCGTACCTCAGAAGTACATAAACCTTGTGAAGGCTCTTTACTCGAACACTACTAGTCGAGTGAGAGCTTATGGCGAACTGTCATCTACTTTTGCAACTTCAAGTGGTGTCCGTCAAGGGTGTCCACTTTCTTCATTTCTGTTTAACTTCATCATAGATCTACTGATGGAAATAACATTCTCGTCGACTGAATTGTCGGGTATTGATCTCCTTCCAGGAGGTCCACATATCGACTTAGAATACGCAGATGACATAGTCCTGTTTGGTGAAGACGCAGTCTTTTGGTAGCACTAAGCAACAATGCCAGAATGTTTGGGATGCGCTTCTCTCCCTCTAAGTGCAAGTTGTTGCTTCAGGACTGCTTTGCGTCAACATCTGAACTAAGGATAGAGAGTGAAGTAGTCGAAGGCGTTTTCTACGTTATATTTTATTCCGTTTCGTCTGAACACCCCCCTTAATCGCTGTTTCGGCCGTGAAAAATCTCTTCTATTGTCGGCATAAGCTAGCTTGGCAATTACAATTAAAATACATAGCCATCGATACACTAGCATATGTCAGCTATCCAAAATGTTATACAATATGAAGTTTTTTTCTTTTCGATAAGTTTATTTCAACATGTACAGTTTTTAACATCGATTGCAGTTATCGTGTGATTTGTTATGGAAATGAAGACGAATACATGAGACGTCTGGGGTTAGGCCAAAGGTGTGTTAAAAATTGAAGTGAAGTTAAGTAAATCCCCAATCTCCAAGTTTTAGGGAAACCATTATGAAAAATTTTGGGAAATGGCACCATAACCCCAAAACTTCCCGACATCTGGGGAGATTCCCTAATATTTTCCAATAAACTCCCCTAAACCTTGGTGGAGGTCATTTGACTTCGGGGATTTCCCCAAAATCCACCCGAACTTTGGAGATTAATCTCTCTTGGTTCGGCGAGTATGTAGGAGAAAAGTAGATAATTCAACACTTGAAACAGAGCAACATGAGGGGAAAAAACCCGCACTATTTCCCCCACACAGGCAGACATCAAGCTGCATTTCCCCTTTGTTTTCTAACGCACTTTTCCCTCTATTGGTTGCCTGGGGCTGGTGCGAAACTTCATCTCAAATGACTAGATATGTGAATAAAACTTCCAGCTTTACCCTGTAACGTGGGTTGATTAAGGAATCCTGAATCTGTGCCAGGAATATTAGCGTAAGATAGCCTATTTGGCTGATCTAAAAAAGTAAAATGCAACTCACGTGACGTAACAGTACAACCTAGCGCCAACAATTAAATAGGTCAACTGTTCTAGAATGAAATGGATGAAGCTATTGCTCAACAGACTTCTGTATATGAAAGCAATGGATCGACAATGTCTCCAAGTAAAACCTAGGTATATTCAATAGTAAAAAGAAAACAATTTTAGAAAATTTGTGGTAGAGCACTCTTCACAAGAAAATGTCGCCTTCTTTTTAAGGACACATGAAAGGCGCTTGGAGTACCTCAGTCGGCAGCAAATTCCGAAATTTGACTACTCGTGAAGAAACAAAGGTGTGCTTCTATTATGTTCTGCCATATCTTGTCGCTAACTTCTGTCTGTATCCCCTAAGGTTTGTGCTGGAACTTATGACATTCAGGAGTTTTTGAGATGCTGTAAGTCATTAGAAGGTTACTTCTGCGACAAATGTGCTGCAATCGGTAATTTATGTTTTATTCTCCACAACCCTGTATTGGTAATTTATTTTCAATAAATAGGTTACAAAAGTCATGCTAGTTTACAGGCATGGTCAAAATGTTACAAAATGTACTACATTAAGTTACTCAGATGAGTCAGTATGTTACAAGAAACACTTATGATGGAAAAGGAGGAGGAAATTTTTGTGCATAAAAAATGGTTATTGGTAGCAAAAAGAAATGCAATGGTTGCCATGTTTTATGGAATGTGTTATGACAAACAACTGGAGGTCTAAAAAATAGTGTAAATCAGGTTAAGAAAGGCTTGCAATAAAAACTATAGTGTAAAATGTGTAAATGTTCAATCAAAAACGCCAGTCTTAACATAATACTTGGTATAAGTGGTTAGTATTCTTCAGATAACTGTTGTAACAGGCTTCTGTTAGAAGGAACTTCAGACCTTTCTCAAGTAAGGGGTAGTAAGGAGTCATGTTCCAAACATAAGTTTTCAACGGTATATCATGACAACGCTGAAAATAGAGAGAAAACAAAAAACCAATTGATACATTTGATTATATAGTGAAAAAGAGTGACACAAATGGTATTTATATCGTTTCAGATGGAGTGTCTAAAGTGCTTGTTCTTAACAAATATGCTCGCGCCATTCGCTTTGGGAAATTTAATTTTACCAAATAAATATTGGTAGGTGCAATGTAGCCATTAGGTTCCACATCTAATTCCGTAGCCGCTTTTGATTGGCTTCGTAACGTTTATAGACAATTTTAACATATATACATTTTTATAAATCCCATCACGATTTTGTGCTAATCACTATAAGTCCACCCTCTTATCAATGTTGACCTTGAATTTTTCCGAACTTGGTTTCAGATACTTAAGCGGCCTAAAGTTTTCAGGACAAATGACGTCAATTAGCCCTATGTCGCGCAAACTCGTGACTGCAAAATCCACAATTTCCACCTGCTTAGATTTAGGGTAATATCTTATAAATTCTGTATCTGCTGAGTGCTTGAGTTTTGTCCGTCTGTATTCACTAGCCTTCGTAAAAGCAACAAGCTCAAAATCGAAGGAATACAGAGGTATATAGACATATGGTCCGGTTTGTATTGGTATCTTTATCTTGTCTATCATAATAATAGACCCAATCCCCAAATTGTAGATATGACATGATGAGACTTCCCAAACCACAAGTTTTTACTTGGCGGTCACATCACAGCTTAACCTGACTCGTCCTATTGTGACGGTCAGCAGTGTGATGTTTAGTACCTCAGAGAAACACGTTCCGGCTGCGGTTAAAATAATATATTCAATGTGAAGAGGTGCGAGCTACACACAATAAACGCGCCTGCAAGTTCGAGCCACACCATACCGAATGATTTTCCAGTGTTCACTGCTGCTGACCTACCCTCCGTGTCGATTGCCGAATATGAATTTTCCCACCCATCTCTTATTTATCTGCGAGGATCGTGTGGTTAGTACTAATACCACTACGGATCCTTCATAAAAACAACTTTAGAAATGGTCTTTGGTTGAAGTTGCATTGCACTATGTGACTCATTGCGGCTGGGAATCCTTTAGAAAAGAAGTGAGTTTTTATCTTTCATTTTGCTTCAAGCTCTTAAATCGATTACCATACTTTTCATGATCAATGTTTGCCCAATTGTAAACTAAAAAGTCACTAGAGTAACGGGGGGGAAACGCTGACAGTACAGTCACTTATTTTTTTTGTTACTCATTTGGCGATACATACATAGTCGTTTATTCTTGTTCTGTGTTCATAAACACACGTTTACGCATTTCGCATCTCCTTTATTTCCGTTCCCTTTTTTTCTCCCTTTCCTTCTTTAAAGCCAACTCATTATTCTTCGAAATTATACAGAATCTG